GAATGGCATTCATACCACATGCTCCACAACAAAGTTTTAAGCTCTTTCTTCATATTCCCTAGAAAAAGAAAAAAAAAAAAAACAACAAAAAACCCCCACAAACCTCAACATCCTCTGTGAAGCCAAATAGCAGCTCTATACCATTATGAACTTGTATCCAAATACTGATCTTAACAGTTACCATTATTTACCTTTCATTCCTTCAGTTATGTCAAAGGCATATCTACTTCATGGTGTCTTACCATGTCAGACTATAGTCAGATGATACTGTTGAAGGCCATCTTAAACAAGCCGCAGAATTTCAAGCTCAAATACTGCAAGAGGTACCAGGCTGTAAGATTTGGGAATTATGAATGAAGAGGCAAATACAGAACTAATGCTTTCTGTTGTCAGTTGGAAAATACAATGGTCAGGCAGCTTAATTCTTTACAAAGCACTGTTTTCAACTAATTTTAGTGTTGAGCATAATCCAGATCATATGGCTTCTTATTTCCACTCACCTTTGTGAAATGAAAAGGTATGAGGTAAGGAGAATTGGTCTAGAGCAAACGTCAAGTCTACCCATGCCATCCAATATGTGTTCTTCATTAGTTCTAATGTTGACAAGCAGTTCGTTAACTTCCTGGGCTTCAGTACAGGTCAGGCTAATTTTAGTGCTGACACCACAGGCAAAGTCCAGGTCAGTACTGAGGGGTTTTGCTTTTCAGTGTTTGGTGGTGTTTATTTTAATTTGAAGTTGGGGCCAGTTTTTGTTCAAGTGAAACAGCTTGTTGTTTTAAGCTTCTCATTAAATGGCCCAGACTTGTATTGACTTTGGTCAGTTTCATTTAGATCATGCTCAAAACCTTTTTAAAAATATTATCAATTCCTTTCTCCTTCAATAATTCACTTTCTGTGGAATAAAAATACCACATCTCAAGCATTTTTGTAATTCTATACCAGACACATATATTAGATTGGAGACAAAGAAAAGATTTTCAGCACCAAATCTGGAATAAAACAAGTTTTTAAGATCGACAATCTGACATTTTTAAGGAATACCATAACTCACTTTTTCAAAACCGAAACCTATGAAAGCTTCTTACATGGGCACAGTCTGCAAAGAAAGAAAAAGCATTTAAGAGGTGTTTGTTTGAAAACACAACAATTATGTGCTTACCAATGCTGATATGTGACTTTATAAACCATGATTTTAATTTCCAAAGCGGTGATGGACTCCTTGCTGTACAGAAATCAGCTTGCCTCCAGAGTCTTACTGCCAAGGAGTGTTTTGCAACAAGGTAGTTTCCCGAAATAATGCTGAGATTCTGTAAGAAAATCATCTGAGACATGAGTGTTTTCTGAAATCCCCAAAACCACAACTTAAGACCACAGTAAACACTTGAAAGAGAAACATGCAGGAGCAACGTGCTGTCTCAGCACTAGAGACAAAGCTTTAGAGAATAAGTTATTATTTTTAACCTCTGTTTTCTGCCTTTACTGGCAAACAGCACATGTCCAGGGAGGTAAAGACCAGACAAGCACACAGGGATTCTCTGCCAATACTCTTTGTAGTGTCCAGCAATTCATGGTTCAAAAGGATTTTCTAAGCCAGAGATGCTGCCTTTATATTTAGCAGCCTTTAATGGATTCATCTTTCTAGTGCTGGTTCAGTTACTTTCAAGTCATGTAAACTTTAACATTAATGAGATTTTTTTTGTTGTTTCTTTGGGTGTTTTATTTTTTTTTTTGCAGGGGGAAGGGGTCATTAAAGAGGAGTGCCATAGCTCACCTGCACGCCTGTGGAGACCACCTCATTTTGTATGCTTTGAGCCACCACCTGCAGATTCCATTTAATAACCTCTAGTTCTGGTATCAGGAGAGACAGTGAACAATCACTCCCTATTCATCCTCTCCCTCTGCCACTTGCGATTTTACGGACTTTTATCATTCCCTCTCAACCATCTGCCTTTCAGTCTATTTAGTTATCCTCATACAGGTGTTGCATGCTATTCATCATTCCTGTCACCCTCCTCTAAAATCTTTCCTAGTTTTACTGCATTGGGTTTGAGATGGAAGAAACCAGAACTACACACAGTATTCAAGATGCACATACACCACAGATTTATAAATATCTATTATTTAATGGATTAACAATGCTTTATTTTCCTCTCTATTTGTTTTCTAGTAATTCCCAACATTCTAATTAAAATTTTAATCTCTCTTAAGCTGACGTTTTTAAAGATCTATGAAAACCCTAGGATCTTGCTTCCAAGTAGGAACAGCCATACACTGGTGGTCCCCAGTAGTTATGTAAAATGACTGTTTTCTCCCATATCCATTACTTCACATTTCCTGCACTGAATTTCATCTACCATTTTATCATCCAGCCATTCCGTGAGGTTAAGGCCCTTCCATAATTCTTCAGTCAGTCATCTTTACTACTCTGAACAGCATCTGCAAACTTTGTCATATTTCTATGCAGCCCTTTTTCCAAAAAGGTCACGAGTATACTGTAAAGCACAGGCCTAGGCACAGATCCTTGCAAGACTTCATTGGTAATTTCTTTTTGCCATGAAATGTGATGATTTATTCCTGCTTCCTATTTCCTATCTTCTAATCAGTTATTTAACCATCTTTGAACCCTTCCTCTTATCCCACAGCAGCTTGCTTTCTCTAACAGCCTGGGATGAAACCTTGTCAAAAGCCTTCCCTTTCTGAAGGTCATTTCCATATTGCTGTCAGTGCTGTACACGTAGCTCAGATCCCGCTTTACAGACAGCTGAAAATGATTAAAACTTGACCCTTCCTGCTCTCTTTATTCTACTGTAATGCATTTCATTCAAATTCGACCTGCTACTCCCTTTCTTCCCAGTGTTCATCCCCTCTCTTCTTCCCTATTGAGTGGTATTATACGCATTTAACAAAACTAAAACAAAAGAAAATATTTCTTGCTATTATTTGTTTACAGAGCTTTCCAGCTTGTATAAGCTTACAATATTAAAGGAAATACAGCCACATCAAAATTAGTCTGAAATCTGTCCTGCATTTATTACATGCTAAAAATCAAATCAAATCCCACATACTGTTATGCAATTTCCCGTCACCTTCACACTGCAAGCCATATACATTAACAGACAATAAAGTTTCATTAGACCTTTATTGCTAATGTGAAGAAAGTTTTAAAGAGTTCTGCTGCATACTAAAGATACATTGCAGGGGTTTGGGGTGGGTGGGGGGAACCCAACAAGGTTTTGTGTCTGCAGATTGAAAGCTCCACAGATAAAGCTGCAGCCCAACCAAAGATTTTGATATGCAGACAACTGAAGCACTACTGATTTGGAAATGTAATTTTTCTTACAGTATACAGGTGAATAGCTCATGCCTAATTACAGATTGAGACAATTTGAAATAGCACAAGTTTAAAATCTTAATGCAGAAAATCAGACCATCAGAATTTCCAATGAAACATTCACTCTGGAGCAGACAGGCAGCACTGTAACACAAATACAACAATAGTACAGATGATTTAATTAGATTACTTCATTCCTATGAATTCTTCCAAAGAAGCTCTTTAAGAAAGCCAGAAATAGAATTCAACTTCAACCTTTTCTGAATGTTTTGGCCTATAGCAGTCGGTCACACTCTCAAAGCATGTTCTCACAGAAGCAGCTGTGTATACACAACAAATCACATTTGGACATGTTTCGATCCAAGAGTGGGTAAGGACAAGCAGAGGTGAGCAGCAGGCTGTCCCTCAAGACTAACACCAACAGTTGCCATAGCAATGGGAGGAATCACGGGAAGAAGCTGGTATTGATCTTTCCATCCCATGTTCTTGCCATTTCTTCAGAGTGGTCTTACACAATACTACCACCGCCAACACCATCGCACATACCCAGGTTCTGAAGTTAATGGGAAATAATAGCGACGAAAAGGCAACAGAGATTAATTACTGCTGGGGTTAGTCTGAGCACACAAAGAACAGCTGCAGAATTTTCATAATGACAAGCTATGCATGGGGAGAGGGGGTATCAATACATATAGGCATGTTTCACCATGCCTACAACCTACATCTCAAAGTTTTCTGTGCATTCTCCAGCCGGGCAGCACCTGCCTGTTCTCAGCATTTGTAACAAGAGAGTCACCAATGCCTAGGTCAGGTATTGCAAAGAGCAGGACATAGCAAAGGATGTTTTGTGCTTAGTTGAAAGCCTGCTACATCATGTCAGCGTACTCCAGAACGGCACAAAGTCAAAAGGATAAGAAAGAGAGACTACTTACAAATATTAAAGAGATTTTTCAGGTTAACAATGGCACAGCTCCAGAGTCCCTCGAAATATACTACAGCACAACTAAGTTCTATAAACATGGGATAATACATTACATGAGAATAGAACAGATTTTGGTAAAGACTAATATTGTTTCCAATAACAACACATAGATCAAAATTGCATTTAGTTTGTAAATTAAAGGATGGTACTTTGTTGATACTACCATAAGGCTTAAATGAAAAATTTATTTTGAAGGTTTCACCTTCATGATTAACATTTCTTCTTAGGATATGCAAAATGGGAGAAAAACTGTTTATAATACTAGACTGAATTAAGAAAGCCTTTTAAGACCATTCCCAACCGTATCTATAAACATTGAAGAATGACCAGAATAGTTAGCAGAGCGTGGCCCTAGCTAAGAGCAGAAGGCTGCTTATATCAGAAAGATAAAATATTATTCTTGTAAACAAGTAGATCACTTCTGCTACATGCACCCTATATTTTCCCAGTTTTATATCAGCATAATACTTCCGTAATCCACTATATTTGCATAAAGCTGAAGTAATAAAGCAATAGGATGGGAAGTACTCAATACCTCCTGAAACTTTATAATTCACAAAGTGATTAGCCCCTCAAAACCAACACAAAACAAAACAAAAAACAACCCCCCCCAAAAAAAAACCCAAAAACCCCAAAAACCAAACCAACAAACTAGCACAGCCTTCAGACAATGCATCACAGTTTTCCAAGGCAAATACAAAAGACAAATTAAAAGTGCCTACATTAGTACAGATATTCTTAACAAAATTTTAACATTTATACTTAATAAAAATAGATCCTGAAAAAAATCCTAAACAATACCTACCAATTGTGCACATCAAGATAACAACTCCACCATAATCCAAACAAATTATAACAGTATGTGATATTTAAGAGCTCTGGGAACCCTGTTAATAACAAGTCTCCCATCATAACTTAAAGAGGCAAATAGCCATGGGTCTGCTGAGGACCATTCAACTGCATATACACTATCTTCATGTTCTTCATAGGTAGCTATTACACTGTCCTGAAGGGGCTCTTTAATCCTAAAATTGAAGAAAAAAAAAAATAGTAAGGAGCTGTGAACACACTTGATTTAAAAAGCAATATTAATTGTCACTAACATCTAGATACGCAACCTCCCATTTAAAGTACAAGAACGCAGCAGTAGGCTCTAAGGAAATATTTTATACCAGATATCTGCATGTACCTATGTTGTAGATAACACAGCAGAGTCAAGTCGATGTTAAAGACCCCATTTACAGGGACAAAGTACCTGTTATTCTCAACTTCAGTGCATTTCCAAGTCTCTCAGAACCTATACTAAGCATCTCTCTATAAAACAAGTTAAGCTACAGGGTATGATCTAAATGCACTTAAATGCACATTTTTATCAACACCTTTTCTTTCACCATCCCTTCCTTTCCCCCTTTGTTGTTAACCGAATTCTTAAAATAATATATATTCTTATTAGAGACAAGTAGGTAGGTAAGAGGTTGCAGTTTTTACATCACAGCCTCTCCTGTGCTGCTATCCAGGACCCATTCTCTCCAGAGTAATATAAGGGAGATGGAAGAACCACTCTGAACACTAATTTTTATCTCCCATTCCTAGAGTTATTGCAACACCGCATTCATCTATTATTGTATACCTCACCTCTCACTGCAACACCCAAGCTCCTGGTCACCTACATCATGAGACGCAGACAGATTCTCTTTTGCATTGCAAATATTTAACAACAGATTCAGGGAATTCTCTGAAGTCCAAACCACCCAAGAGTCATTGATTGTGCTCTGCTAGCTGAGAACAGCCCTTCTACTCTCCACTCACAGAGCCAATCCCTCCTCTCACAGCAAAACCACAGCACATTATTCTGTAGCTACAGGGTAGGTGAGTTTTCAGAGGATGACCTTAGAGCTCCTTCACCCACAGAGGATCACCTCTGCCTGACAGGAATCAGTCAGCCTTTCAGAAGCACCCCCCTGCCTCCCAGAAACAGCCTTGTGTTACAGCTGCAATCCTCCTAACAGAAAGCAAAGCCAAAGAGCCTCCTCAGTGCCACTCAATCATTTAAACAGATGCTGCTACTACAGAAATGAAGTGTTGTTACTGGCTGTCTTTGCCCTTTGCCGCTGCTCTCTGAAAGCACACGTCTCTACGATCACAAAGCGTATATGGTATCACACTTGAATCGCTGCTCCACCTAACCAGCCTAACCAGCTGCGAATCTAACATCGCAATTAAAATTCAATTGAATTTAATGAATAAACCAAAAGCAGTCTGATACTGCAGAATAGCTTCAGCTATTTAGTTTCAAGGACTTTTATCATTTACTTTTGCTACGTTTAAGGTCAACTAACAAAAAAAGGTCATAGCACAAACAACACGCAGCCCCTGGTTAATTGCAAAGAGCAGGCTTGTTTTGCCGTTCTCCTGAATATGTACTTTGATACAAACCATCTAACAGCAGAGAGCTAATAAACACAGACACACACAGACACTTCATCTCCTGCAATGTGTTTTTCTAACTTCCTGGTAACTGACATGCCTGGTTAAGTGAAAGTTGGTCATGTCCCCAGACGGCAATGTGCTTCACGCGGTGCTCACCCACTTACCCACAACTCCATTATTCTGAAGGTTTCAAATGTCTCTCCGGATAAGCAGGGGAGTAATGCACGGTGCACATGGCTGTCAGGGGACACGACCGACTTTCAGTTAACCAGGAGTCTCAGTTAACCAAAGGCTGGATAAACAAGGACAAATAAGCTTCTAGATTATACTATTTTCTGTATGCTCAGAGTTGTTTCAGTGTTTCATTTAAATAACGCAGTTAATCTAATTTAATTTACAGAAGTCATAGGGGAATGAGTGCTCAGGAACGAAGCCTGTAGATGAACTTCTGTCTGGCATTTCCATTTATAACTACAGTTTTTAACTGTCTTTTATTATTGTCTATACACTGAATTTCTTCTTGGGTATGAAAGTAATCTTGTGCCATCCCAGAAAAAGAAAACATGCTATTCCACATGGTTCTTCAGGCCACGACTTCCATTTTCAGTGTGGTTGTTCTTTGTTTTTTTGTTTTAAATAGCGCAGATCTATGATAACATTACGTATAGACTTCTTGTGCATAAGAATGGCATAGCCTTGAGACAGTTATTGAGAACCTAAGAAAAAAGTGATCACTTGGTGTAAAAGATCTAAATACTACACAAGATAATCAGGATGGAAAAAAAATCATCTCAGAATGACATGTGTCTTGGGAACAATACAAAAGATCAAGAAGAAACTGTCCATGAGCATCCTTTACAAACACTATGAATGAAAACAGATTAGCCTTTAAATTATTTAATGGGTAATGAGCCCAGAAGGATTCTGCTAGTGGAATAAAGAGCAGAATTTATTTCATGTATGTGAAAGATTGTTCAAAATAATTTAAAAAAACCAAACCAACCAAACAAACAAACCAAAAAAATAAAAACAAACAGAAGAGCAAGGTTATTTGTGGTGGTTTTTTTTCCTCACAACAGATCATCTTACTCTATGCTAAGAGACTTCCAAGAAAACACCTCAGATTTGTCTGCATTTGGCTATGTGCACGCTTTTTTTGGTAATCCAAGAATAGGCTGAGGATACTATTTTTGAATTTATGAGAATCTAGGACACTTACAATTGTTCAGTTTCTGAGTCCCACAACAATCTATTTCCTCTCTATGAATTTTTACACAGCTTTTACACATTTTTATTTATTAAAGAATCAGCTCAGACTCTCCTAACGCCTCAGATATTAAATATGATATGGTTAATGCAAGAAGTTACAGACTTAACAGCTATGACACTGACATTTATTTAAGCAAGGTAACAAATACCTTATTAAAAAAAAAAATATATGCACATATAAACAGAGTCTATGAAAAAAAATATTTTGGTCACAGCACATACTAGTGGAACACATGCAAAGCAACTTGTATTTATCTTAAGATGTTTTTGTCTATTTAGATATTTTAATTATCCTTCTGTTTTGATCAGTTGCTACAATTTTATTTCTCCTTAACATACAGTAGGTAATTTCAGAGCCTAACATATCATAGCACCGATGAGTGTATTTTTTCTAACACTCAATTCATTATGTAGCACTGATTAAATGAATACTGCTGTAGCAATGATTAAATGAATACTGCTGTATTTTTGATGTGCATTATTCCTAGCTCAGAAACTTTCTATTTCATAGTTACCAGCTCCTGATGACAATGCCCAGGTTATTTGCCTTCTTAGGTTAGATGCATAACACCAGGCACAGAAGAGGAGGGCATTCAAAGTGGACTGGATACTGGGATAAAGTCAGCAGATCTTTGGCAGGTTTCAGAACAGAGAGGAGAGTTCAGGACCTTAAATTTCTTCCCAGTTAGAGAAGTTCAGAAACAGGAAGAGTACCTGTACAGAGGTGGATATGAAATAAACTTTCTTCTATGCTACTTTAATATGTATAATTCAGGTTGTTGTCAAAACACAGGCATTTCCGGTTTTACATAAAAGCTGCAGGTTATGGGTGTAAAAATGCAGTTGCTATGCTATAGCTAGTTTAGTGTACCACAGGTGTAGGTGCTTGGCCTATTGATCCCTTGATAGAGCAGCACGAGTAGACTATATTTGATAAACTTACTTGGTAATCACTTGTTATGCCTGGCAAGCTTAGTAAGCTATTTTCTTCCTTGTCTTAAATCTCCCTGCCCCTTAAAAAGTTCCTTTAGTTTCTCATTTTCCTGTACTACTTTTTCCGGCCAGACTAAACTACCTTTTTCTCTCCTTACATATGTTCTTGCATTGCATCAACTGACAAGGCATCAAACTCTTGAACTCATCAAGAACTCATAGTAAGAAATGTGTAATCTCTACCTACACCCTGCATAAATTTAAGACCTGTGCCACACAGAGCTGAAACTGAACTGTTTTCTCTTTGTAGTCTTATTCATATAGCACGACCCCTACTAGCTTCTCCTATGAAAGGAGATGAGCTTTCATTTTATTAGATAACTTTGAGGTTAATTGTGTTACAGACTTGAGAGAGAAGCCTGTTAAGCCTTGGATAATTGTTTTCATGTAGAGAGCTGTTATTTCCAATTACTTCTCATGCTAACAACCACTTAAGTTTGCAGTGCTTGCGATTCTGTTTTGTCACCACAATGTTCAATAAAATATGTTTTTCAGAGTCACCAAAAATCAGTAATTCCGTATCACAGTCAAAATTAAATCCTCTTTAAAATTACTATGAAATAGATGTGATTCAATAAAGCAACAACATGTACTGCAGCATCCAAAATGAATCCTGAAAAGCATGCCATGGGATTCTAGAACAAGGCCCATGGATGCCCTTTCCCTTTAACTGTAGGAGAAAACTTAGCAACTGTAAGGTTTTGCTTCTGGTAAGCTTAGACAACACACTACTTCTGTTAAGGAAGACAGAATTCAAGGATATTTATACTGGAACACAATTTTTATATATAGTAATTGGCCATTCATACTATTGTAAGCATTATCACTTTTTTTACTTAAAAAAAAACAGCCTTCAAAACTGCTTCTACAGGAAAATGGCATCTTTAAAAACAGGAAATGCATCTTTTAATACAAGAGGTTTCATAGCTGTCCTAATACGCAAAATAAATTAAGGAGGGTATATCTGCTGATGAATTAAAGAAAGAAAGAGTATGGAAAAAACACGTTTTTAAAGCAAAATAGTCTAGGAATTAGAAAGTGCTCTTGCACTAGATTTGGCCCAGCTTCTTACACATCCAACCAAGTCAAGTCCCGAATACTAGCATTCCCCAAAACAGAAACTATTTAAGCTGTTTTAATTGAGTCTCTTGGTTGATTCCATAGCATAATCCTATGATTTCTAGATTTTTCCAAGACATAAATACCACAAGTAAAATATCATCAAAATTAACACTATCAGCAGCTGCGTGAAAACACCCTGAAAATTGCCTTATCATGAATGTTTGGCAAATACTTTTCAAAATATCAGTGCTGACAATTCACTCTCCTGGAG